TTAATACCCCAAAACCCTAAGCCCCAAACCCTAAACCCTAAAACCCCAAACCCCAAACCCATCAAACTCAAAAACCCTAAACCCCACACCCAAAAACCATAAACCCATAAACCATAAACCCTCGACCTTAAAGCCTCTAAATACCTAAAACACAGACCCATACACCCCAAAAACCCCCCAAAAAACCCAAACCCCTAAAACACCAAACTCCTAAAACCCTAAAAAGCTGAACCCTACACGACAAACATCTCAAAACCTAAAACAAGAAAACCCATGAAACCCAAAACCCTAAACCCCGAACCCCAAACCCAAACCCTAAACCCTAAACCCCAAACTCCTAAAGCCCCAAACCCCAAACCCTCAACCCTCCACCCACCACTCAAACCCTCAAAGCCCTGAATCCCAAAACCCCAAACCCTAAACTCGAAACTCCTACAACCCTAAACCCCAAACCCTACCCTAAACCCCAAACTCCTAGAACCCCAAACCCTAAACCCAAACCCGCCAAAGCCCTGAAAACCCAAAACCCTAAACCCCAAACTCCCAAAACCCCAAAACCTAAACCCCAAAACCGCCAAACCCCTCAAAAACCCTCAAACCCTCAAAACCCTAAACCCTAAACCCCAGACCCTAAACCCCAAACCCAAACCCTAAACCTCAAAACCCCCAAAAAAGCCCTCCAAGCCCTGCCTCCTGCAGCCCCGGCAGATGGGACAGCCACTGCCCTGGACCGAGCTTGCGCAGCCACAGGGCGATGTCCTCAAGTTGGGGGTTTATGTGGGGGTTTAGGGTTTAGGGTTTAGGGTTTAGGGTTTAGGGTTTAGGGTTTAGGGTTTAGGGTTTAGGGTTTAGGGTTTGGGGTTTGGGGTTTGGGGTTTGGGGTTTGGGGTTTGGGGTTTGGGGTTTAGGGTTTAGGGTTTAGTTTAGGGGGTTCGGGTTTAGGTTTTGGGGTGTTGGGTTTGGGGTGTCTAGGGGTTTGATGGCCTGTGTAGGTTTGCAGTGTATGGCGTCTGCATGTGTCAGAGGCATGGCCACCTGTGCCCAAGGTGGCCACCGAATACCTGAACCTTAAACCCTAATGTCTCGTAATGACCCGAATACCTCCTAATAACCCCAATATCTCCCAACAACCCTCAACCCTCAAACTTCAACCCTCAACCCTCAACCTGAAACCCTAACCCAAACCAACATCCTCAAGGAGTCGATCTCTAAAGCCCCGAAGTTCAAACCTCAAGAACCTCCAAAGCATTAGGGTTTAGGGTTTAGGGTTTAAGGATATGGGATTAGGGATTAGGGTTGAGGGTTCAGGGTTTAGGGTTCAGGGTAAAACCCCGGAACCTCTGCACCTTAAGGCTCCCTGAATCCAAAACCCTGAGCCCCTAAACCCTAAACCCTAAACCCTAAACCCTAAACCCTAAACCCTAAACCCTAAACTCTGCGCCCTTGGCCCTTGGCACGCCTCCTTTTGGAGGACCCAAGCAATTCGGCTATGTGAGCCGCCATGGACGACCTCCAAAGTTTAGGGTTTAGGGTTTCGGGTTTAGGGTTTAAGGTTTAGGGTTTAGGGTTTAAGGTTTAAGGTTTAGGGTTTAGGGTTTAGGGTTTAGGGTTTAAGGTTTAGGGCTTAGGGTTTAGGGTTTAGGCTTTAGGGTTTAGGGTTTAGGTGGCTTCTCACTCAAATAGCAAAAGTACTCGGCCCTAAGCCCTACAAACCCTAAACCTCAAACCCCTAAACCCTAGACCAGATACCCCCAAACCCTAAACCCGAAAGCCTAAAGCCTTAACCCACAAGGCGTAGGAAAGGGGGCTTCGAAGTCTTTTTGATGCCGGTTCTGCTGGAGCTGGAGGGCTGAGACTCGGCCCGAACTTTAAGAACCCCCCCCGCCCCCACAAAAAAAATATGGCAAACCTACCTTTTTTGTAGATCATGATGATAAAGGGTTTAGGGTTTATGGGTTTTTAGGGCTTAAGGTTTAGGATATGGGGTTTACGGTTTACGGTTTTGGACTGCGGGCCTTGGGGGAAAGGAGGATTTTGGAAGGGGTTAGTCTGGACCTGCAGCTCCACAGGCCCTACTAAACTCTAAACCCTAAAACCCTAAAACCCTAAAACCCTAAACCCTAAACCCTAAACCCTAAAGCCCTAAAACCCTAAAACCCTAAAACCCTAAAACCAAAACCCTAAAACCTAAACCCTAAACCCTAAACCCTAAACCCTAAACCCTAAACCCTAAACCCTAAACCCTAAACCCTAAACCCTAAACCCTGTCCTGGCGCCGCGGCCTCCCAGCCCAGCTTGCCGGAAGCCATGCGCAAGAGCGCCTCATTCCTGGTGCTGCAGACTGCAGACACAGCGTTTGGGGTTTAGGGTTTAGGGTTTAGGGTTTCGGGTTTAGGGTTTAGGGTTTAGGGTGTGGGGTTGTGGCGCCCCTGAGCAGCCTAAGGCTAGGCATCCAAATGCAGACACAGAGTTTAGGGTTTAGGGTTTAGGGTTTAGGGTTTCGGGTTTCGGGTTTAGGGTTTAGGGTTTAGGGTTTTGGGTTTAGGGTTTAGGGTTTAGGGTTTAGGGTTTAGGGTTTAGGGTTTAGGGTTTAGGGTTTAGGGTTTAGGGTTTAGGGTTTAGGGCCAGGGGGGGTGGTGGGGAAGTCGGGTGGGGGGAGGTGCTTCTAACTTCTAACACATGTTCTGAGCGCTGTCAAGGCCCCGTTTTGGCAACAAGACCTTGCGGACTAAGTCAAAGTGTCTGCAGCCCGGCCCGGCTTCTCAAGCGGACGGTCAGAAGTGGGCGCTGGAACCCTAAACCCTAATACGCTAATACCCCGAACCATAAACCCTAAGCCCTGAACCCTAAACCCTCAACGCTAAACCCTAACCCTAAATCCTAATCCTAAACCCTAAACCCTAAACCCTAAACCCTCAACGCTAAACCCTAAACCCTCGTACCGCATGTCGCAGTCTGCGTTCGCAACAAGCGCCCTGAACCCCATTGAGCAGCCCTCAGCCCCGACACAAGCTCTACGTCGAAACTTTACGGACGCCCCAACTGGGCGACTGGTAGGGTTTTCGGGGTATTCGGGTATTAGGGTACTATAGGGTATTAGGTTCTGCGGGTATTCAGGGCATTCGGGGAATTCGGGTGTTCGGGTATTCGGGTATTCGGGTATTAGGGTTAAGGTTATAGGGTTTCGGGTTTAGGGTGGCCGAGGTCCCGGCTTCTTTGCCAGGGCAAGGTCCAAGCCTTCGCCCAAACAGGTGGAATGACTCAGGTGCTGGAAAGCCAAACAGGGGTTTAGGGTTTCGGGTTTGGGGTTTAAGATTAGGGTCTAGGGTTTAGGGCTTGGGGTTTGGGGTTTAGGGTTTAGGGTTCAGGGTTCAGGGTTCAGGGTTCAGGGTTCAGGGTTCAGGGTTCAGGGGCTTCAACCGCCGCATAACATCCTTGATGCTCGGTCTAACAAAAAATTGGCTAGAAGGACGCCAGACCTGGCCATGACGATGGCTATTCTTGCTGCTTCACGTAACACAATCACAAGATTTACTAGACCCAGGTTGCAAAAAAAAAATTTAAAAAAAGGAGCAACCTCGGAATCAAAAGGTTGCCCTTTTAGGGATAGAGGGGTTTAGACAAGGGAACCCTCAACCCTGACAAAGGGGGGGATGTACTCTGGGTCCTAGTAGCCCCAAGCCCTAGACCCTAAACAACAGAAGGGAAGAATGGGCTTATAAGGGAACATAAACCCGAAGAAAACGGAACAAGGGCCTACTCTGGGTCCCAGTTCAACTGCTGATGCTGGACAACGTCGGGCACCCAGGGAGCATCTTAAGGGTTAAGGGTTTAGGGTTTAGAGCTTACGGCTTAGGGCTTAGGGCTTAGGGTTTAGGGTTTTGGGTTTTGGGTTTAGGGCTTAGGGTTTAGGATCTCGGATTTAGCGTTCAGGTGCAGTCCTCAAGGGTGGATTTCATGGCTCGGGGGCTTGCAATGGATGAAGGCCTCGACCTCCAGCTCTCTTTAGAGTTTGGGTTTAGGGTTTAGTTCTTTGGTTTTACGGGTAGGATTTAGGGTTTAGGGTTCAGGGCGGAGGGTTTTGGGGTTTGCAGGATGTCGTGCTAGTTGTGGCAATGCGGAAACCGATGCATTCTCAGAGCAACAAGGCACTGTGTTCGTGAAAACGCATAGGTCGGGGTGCCAGCATTCAACAGGAAACAACTTTGGCCTCGAGAGAGGGTATAGTAAAAGGCAAGTGAGAGAGAAGGTGAGAGAACATAGCAGAAAGAGATCAGAAAGAGAGCGAGAGAGAGGGAAAGAGAGAAAGCGAGAGAGACCATTGCGAGCATGCACACCTGCTCTAACAGGCCGAGGGCCTACGGAATGAAGTGCGGAAAGGTAACTATCTGGTGCTGCCTCACTACCATTCCGGTGGTTTGACGTGCCTGCACACTCTCTTGCATTGAATGACGCGACCCGGCACTAAAGCAAAAGGAGCCATCTGAGCAACCTTACCTTCGGGTCAAGAGAACATGAAACTCCTTCTATCTACATGACATACTGCGGAGGGCTCAGGACTTCGGCTCCTCTTGCGTAACCCCTAACCCCTCACCACGTTGATAGGTTCGTTGCTCACCAGGAGGTCCTACACGCAGCTGTATGTGAATGTACCATGTACCCAGGAGAAGAGCTATGGCAAACCCTGAACCCCAAGCACTACACCCTGAGAAAGAAGGAGGCCCCAAACCCGAAACACTAAACCCTGTTTAGGGTTTAAGGTTTAGGGTTTAGGGTTGCCTGGCAAGCTGGGCCTATAAGCTCCCCCGACCCAGCGCGAACCTTTTCTCACCGTGTCTCTCCTCGAAAAAGTTCTAGTTCATGGTTGGGATAAAACTAAAAATCTAAACTTATATTCCTCATTGGCTTTAAGTGCTCTTAAACATGCAACATGTTCCCCAACTATGACCTAGTTCAGGGCCCTTCGGGCGCGGAAAGAGCTCATTTTTTAATGCGGCCGGTCAGAACTCATAATAGCACTCCTTCGTTGTGAGGAGCTGCAACAAGATCCACAAGAACTTTACTTCCTCACCTCCTGGCGCTAGAGACTCGAGCTTGGCAAAGTGCTTGGACCACTCTGCCTGTTTCTTGGCCATGATCGCCTCCACTTCGTCAATATTACCGTGAAGCAGGAAGCCTCGAAATTCTGGTGACCGGCTGCCGTCCCAGACTACCACCATAACTTTGTCAAAGCCTACAAAGCCAAGCTCCGCTGCATTGTGTGTACCAGCCTCGCCCTGAAAGCGCAGGGTGCCATCGTCTGCTGGAGCCCACTGATCCGATTGCCTCACCCACGACACATTCTTCGCAAATTGGTCTGGCGTAAGGGCAGAGCTTCGCAGGTCTAGTAGCTTGCCATCGTGAAGCTTTTTGGCCTCCTGGTAGTTGAGCTTGTCCATATGCCAGAAGCCCAAAGAGCATCTGCTGGTGTTGAGGACCAATCTCCCCCAAATCATGTCAAGAAGGCCATCTTCGGCTCGCATTGCGCAAAACTTCTGCCTGGCCTCCTCGCGATTGGCAACGTCCTGCGCAGGGCCATGATCCACAGCCGTGCTTAGGCTCACGTTTTGTCCGCCACCGATCGTCAAGACGGATCTTCCAGCCGTGTCATTGATGACGATGATGGAGTCATCATTGTAAAGATCGACCTCGAAGCACACGACGAAATCGGCTCTGTCCATCTTGTCCGTTCCCCTGTGTTGTACTCCGCCGTCCATGTCATAGTTGTTGTCAAGAACCTTGTAGATGGGCGTGACTGGCGGGAGCCTATTGGCGTACACGCCAGGCCCATAGTACGCATCCCCCTGCATGATCTCCGAAGGCCAGATGGCACCGCTCTTCACGATGCGTAGCCCTCCTTGTTGGTATAGTGGTAGACTCCCTCGAGAAGCATGGGCCTGCTTGGAAAATGACTGGTGTCACCACCGCCAGGGTGGCACCATGACCCGTACCTTCGACGCACGCCGATCATCGTGGCAAGGCTGTCGGTCGAGAAGTCTTGCGCAGTACCACCGCGATCTCGGACGGACACCTTCTTTTGAGCCGAGATTTTGAGGCAAGCGCGGTTCAAAACACGACCCTACACCGGCCGTAGCATAGCTTCCAGCGAGCATTGGGCGACAACGTGGGGGGTGGGGGGGGGTGGGGGCGTCCCTTACGCTTACCTTACACTCGTGGGCTGTACGCTTCTGCGTGCCTGTGTTTCCGGAAGCCTAGTTAAGGCGCCTGCGTCTGTTTGCTGTCTGGCTCAAGCTGAGGAAGGCCCTGGACGAATTATATACATTCCTGGAGGGCGAACATTGTTTAGATTCTAAACAACCCAGTTCTGCAGCCCAACAGAAATGAGAACCTGAAGCCGTCAAAACTCCCAACCCTGAAGCCTAAACCCTAAACCCCAAAACTCTTTAACGCCACGCTGTAGGGCCCTGGCAGGGATGTTGCCGAGACGGCCTGTCCCCTGCACGCAAGAAAAAACGGTAGGCCGTTCCTGCTCGGGTTTTTAGGCTAGGGTTTAGGGCTTTCGGGTCAGGATTTGCAGTATAAAAGCTTAGGTGTAACAATTGTGGTGAACATGCTGCCTTTTGAATTCGGTGCGCTTTCTCCTTTGCAGGGTTAGTTTAGATTCCAGGGCTTACGGGTTCAAGGTTTTGGGAGTTTAGGTTAGTGGTTAAGCCCAAAACCCCAAACCCTAAACCCCAAACCCGAAACCCGAAACCCTAAACCCTAAGCCCTAAACCCCAAAAGGTGAGGGGAAGGTGACTAAAGGGGGTGGACCTCTGCGTCAGCTGCACAGAGCCTTCTACTACGCAGGGCACATTCATCTCAGAGCACGCCCCTAAACCCCCAAACATTGAGAAACCCTTTCTTCGGGTTCAGGGTTTAGGGTTTAGGGTTTAGGGTTTAGGGTTTAGGGTTTAGGGTTTAGGGTTTAGGGTTTAGGGTTTAGGGTTTAGGGTTTAGGGTTTAGGGTTTAGGGTTTAGGGTTTAGGGTTTAGGGTTTAGGTTTAGGGCTTAGGGCTTAGGGTTTAGGGTTTAGGGTTTAGGGTTTAGGAGGTCATAAGCCCCAAACAAGTGCACACTTTCAGTTCTATAGGGGGTTATAGTATCCCAAAAAGTGTAAAGTGCACTCACTCAGGCAATCACTTTGTTTCAGGAGAACGCCAATGTATCCGAAGCACTTATGGTTTGTTGGGCTTTCGGGGTTTCGGGTTTAGGGTTTAGGGTTTAGGGTTTAGGGTTTAGGGTTTAGGGTTTAGGGCATGAGCCCGTTTCAGACTTCAGCGCCCCCGAGCGTCAAGACGCACTGAGCAGTAGGTGTTGACGGTGGGGGTCTAGGCGTCCAGGAATGAGGGTTGAGGGTTTGGGGTTTAGGGCTAGGGTTTAGGGTTTAGGGTTTGGGGTTTGGGGTTTAGGGCTAGGGTTTAGGGTTTAGGGTTTAGGGCTCTACAGGATGTCTACTGTAGCTTGAAAGGATCGGGGTTCATGGTGTCATCGCTCCCACCTGACTGCGGTGGGCCGGAAGTCTCCTGCGATGCGGGCGGGTGGCACATGCAGAGGCTGCAAAGCCCTGGGAGGTTCATGGTTTGGAGCTTAGGGTTTCGGGCTTCGGGTTTAGAACTTCAGGTTTAGGGCTTAGGGTTTAGGGTTTAGGGTTTAGGGTTTAGGGTTTAGGGTTTAGGGTTTAGGGTTTAGGGTTTAGGGTTTAGGGTTTAGGGTTTAGGGTTTAGGGTTTAGGGTTTAGGGTTTAGGGTTTAGGGTTTAGGGTTTCGGGTTAGGGTTTAGGGTTTAGGGTTTAGGGTTTAGGGTTTAGGGTTTAGGGTTTAGGGTTTAGGGTTTAGGGTTTAGGGTTTAGGGTTTAGGGTTTAGGGTTTAGGGTTTAGGGTTTAGGGTTCAAAAGGCGAGGAGGGATGGAAGCACTTAGCGTTTAGGGAATTGGGGTGGTGTTGTGCCGGGCCAGCTTCTGGCCCTCTAGCCTGAGCCCTAAACTCTTCGACTCCTCCTTCAAACCATGTTATTCTGCTTTATATCTGGACACTGAACCTCCTCTTTCCAACCCCGAACCCCGAACCCCAAACCCTTAAACCCTAAAGCCCAATAAGCCCAATCCCTAAACCCCAAATTAAACCCTAAACCCTAAATCCTTACAACTCCGAATTTTCCCTAAGCTCCAAATACCAAGGGTTTCAAGGGTTTCAAGGGTCTGACGGGTTTGAAGAGTTTCAAGGGTTGAGGGTTTCAAGTTGTGGGTTCTAGAGGATGTTTCCTATTTTTTGGAGGGTTTTTAGGGTGTTAGGGTTCCAGGGCTGTATGGGTTTTAGGGGGCTTTAGGGTTTCAGGGTTTTAGGGCGTTAGGCTTTTGGGGTTTAGGGTTTGGTGAGAAGCCAGGGCCGCTGAACGTCATCAAATCTTACGACCGTGCGTCTCGACATCACCGCTTCCAACATATGTTTTTCTTGCCCTAAACCCTAAACCCTAAACCCTAAACCCTAAACCCTAAACCCTAAAGCCTAAACCCTAAACCCTAAACTCAGGGCCTACCGCCCCCCTACGTTGGGGGGCGGCGCTTAAGCCCTTTGACCTCGATGGCACAAGCCGACCCAGGTCGCTCGCCCGCCTCCCACAGCATGGGGGTCGTGATGGGCCCGGTTCCGGAACACGTTCTCTTTTGGGGACCAGTAGGTCCCTTAAAATGAAAACCCCACCCCCCTGACCCTGGGCCCCCCCACTAGGTCAGGAGGACCCGGACCCTTCGCCGCAGCGTGCTCAGGGACCAGGGGGCCTCAGGCCGACCCAGGCCGACCCAGGCAGGGTGGGTGCTCAAAAATCAGTTTTTCTGCCTGCTTTGTCCCCCTGCCGCTTTTGACCTGGCCCCCCTGGCCTGGCCCCCCTGGCTTTCCTGGCCGCTGGCCCCCCTGTGGCCCCCCTGGCCCCTGCCCTCTCCTGTTTGTGCCCCGCCCGGCCCCCCTCCTGACCCTGCCCTACTGGGTCGGCTTCGGGGCCTCTATCTTACCTTCGAGACCTTGCTGGCACCCTTGACTCTCGGATTCAACCAACATCAAAGTTTTGAAGAGTGGACTGTCGTCTGAGTTTAGGCCTAAACCCGAAAAGGGATAGGTTTGGGTGGCTTTGCCGCCTTTGGACGGCGTGGGGTGGGAGAAAAGTGTTTAGATGGCCCTCCACAATCGGGCCAAAGCTGCTCTTCAGCACCTCACGAAGCTTTCGAGCTTGTTCCGAAACCTAACCTTCACAGCATCTACGCCCTATCACAGCAAACCCTAAACCCTAAACCCTAAACCCTAAACCCTAAACCCGCCAAGGTGCCTAGAATGCATTCCTTTTGCGGAACACTGCTGTGGATGCTCTCTTTTTGCACATATCTAATAGACACATCCAAGTCTTCTAACCCCTAAACCCTAAAACCCTAAAACCCTAAAACCCTAAAACCCGAAAGCCCTAAAACCCTAAAATCCTAAACCCTAAACCCGAAACCCTAAAGCCTCCTCGTGCCCTGAACGAAACCTGCCTCCTCGCTGTCAGAGGGGTCCAGGAAGCTACCCCAGCTCCTGGCGACCAGAAGTACGTACAACGCATGATACTAATAGATCTGCCTATATATTCATCGGGGTTTGGGGTCATGGGGGTGTAGGCTTTAGGGTTCAGAGTTTAGGGTTTGGGGTCATGGGGGTTTAGGGCTTAGGGTTCACAGCTTAGGGTTTAGGGTCGTGGGGGCTTCTTCGAGTTTCGGCTTAAACCCTAAACTCTAAACCCCAGACCCTAAACCCTAAACTCCAAGGATCTGTAAGGGCCAAGACCACACGCCGAGGGAAGCTAACCGAACCCCTGGGGCGCTTCCCGCCATCTTCGCGTCCTCTTCGAGAACACCTTTACATCCTCAACCCCGGAGTTTAGGGTTTAGGGTTTAGGGTTTAGGGTCCAGGGTCTAGGGTCTAGGGGCTTAAGGTTCTGAAATCTAAGCCCTAAGGCCCAAACACCTAAACCCTTAAACAGCAAGCCCTAAACCCCTGAACCCTTAACCCGGAGCTCCTGAACCCTAAACCCCCCCAAGCCCCAGAGCCCCCAACTTTGCGGCAAAAAAAACTTCTCAAAAGCTTTTTCGAAGCATAATGAAAATAGTATCTTTCGAGCCCCTGGACTTTCATACTAGCAACCCCTAAACCCTAATTCAACCCTAAGTCCGAAGCCCTACGCCCTAAGTCCGAAGCCCTAAGCCCCTGAGCCCTAAACCCTAAACCCTAAACCCTAAACCCTAAACCCTAAACCACAACTAGCTCATTAGGAACAGCTCGAGGCGATGCCTGCGCACAGGCCCGGCCGAGGCAGGCCTTTGCCGCGACCTGGAAAAAGCGTGTTGCAGTTTTGGGGCTCTCGGATTCGGTTTAGGGTTTAGGGTTTAGGGTTTAGGGTTTAGGGTTTAGGGTTTGGGGTTTAGGGTTTAGGGTTTAGGGTTTTAGGGTACTGGCTTGATTGCCGCAAGTTAGGGTGGGGTGCCTCCCATTTGCGGGCGCGCCCATGCTTTATGGACAACCTCAACAAAAGCATGGCCCCTGCACCCCGTTCTTGCATGCAGACGCAACGAAAAGTGGGAGGATGGCATGTCCTCCAACTCTGAATTGAACCAAAGCCACAAAGCCATGTACTGAGCGGATTTTTTGTTGGCAGCTGCCTCTGGTGCATTAAGATGTGCGGGACAACTGGTCGCAAGCCTGCCTGCAAACCTTGCAAAATTACCAGATACTGCTGCCTCCCGCTACGCTCAGGCATTAAGCCATGCCTTTCGAAAGCACTGCCG